TGATGACCCCGCTCAGGTGACCGCAGTGCTTTTACCTTGAGGTCACTCTCAGCTCAGACTAGATTTTCAGTGGTGACTGGTGAAGCTCTGCAGATCCTATTAGCAGCCTCTTGAGCTTGGAGAGACCTGTGTGTGCAGAGCAGCAGCCTCTGAGACAGCAGCTCAGGTAGGTTCAGATGTGCCCGAGGCATAAGAGGAAGACTAAGGTGACAGAGAATGTAAATCTGCTGCCTGTTGTGCCCAAAACCAGCTCCTGGGATGCTGCAAATCACGGCCAGGCTGCTCAAACGTGCTCAGGCTGTCACTAGAGGGAGCAGCATGTGATTTTTTAAATTTTTTTTTTCCTAAATCTTGAAAAAGTGACAGGATGCAGAGACTCAGCTGGTGAAGTGGTTTGGCAGGAGGGATGTTGTAGAGATGCTGCAGTACCTTTGGCTTAACAAACATAAGTATTTCTGTAATGCAAGGGGATCTCCTGTGCCAATCAGCCAGCGGGGTCTGGGGGGGAGAGGCAGGAATGAAGCACTTCATAAAGCTCAGTTTGCTGAGTGGGATTGACTTCTTGACTCTCCTTTTGGCTCTTGGAAGTGCCAAGTCTTGAAGGTGGACAGGACCCTGCCAAGTGCAGGCACTGTGTGCCCTGCAGGGGAGAGGGCTGGAGTGGCAGGGCTGTGGGATTTAGTTGGCTTTGCTGTTACTGTGAATTAACTGGGTTTGCTGTGCCTGTGTGTCTGTGTCTGTGGGCCTGGTCTGATGCAAGCAGCTGCTGGAGATCTCCTTCAGGAGCTCTCAGTTCCCAGATCCTGGTGCCACTGCATGGCTGAGCTGGGCTGAGCTGTGTCTCTGTGCCCATCAGAGGTACCCCCCCAGGCCCAGGGTCTAAATACAAGATGAGGAGCAAGGGATTAAGAGACAAAGCAAGGAAACAAAGAGCCCATAATGGTATCCTGCCTTGCCTTGAATTGGACAATTCCCCTATGACTAGTTGGTGGGCAGTGGATTACTCAGTGGGTGGAAAGGGGTCTGGAGTCAGTCCTGTGGACTTCATTCCCTCATTTGTAAAATGATGTTGTGAACATCTGGCTCACACATGGAGCGTGACACTTGGCTCACAGAGGCATATAAATGTTTTCAGATCCTTGAATGGCTGTTGCTGAAATGCGAAGGCTCATCGTTAATGAAGTCTGCAATAACACTGACGGAGCGTTTGTGTTTGCTGCAATTTGTAACCATGTTCTAACACTTGTTAACGAATGCTATTGTGGGTTGCAAGGCGACCAAGGAACACTTGAGGATAAACATGACCGAGTGGTTGTTCCTGGTTTGTGCCACTATTTGTCACTGCAGGTGTTGAAACATGTCATGTTGTGCAGCAGGGCTTTAAATGGGTGAGCTCGGTGAGAGGGGAGGCTCAGCTACCGGGACTTCCTTTGTGGTTTTTCCATCTGCTCCACTCACACAGGCAAATGCCCTCACTGCCTGCTGTAAGCAGAGTGGTGAGGAGCTGAATATCCACATGACATCAGGAAAATCCAGCTGGTGGACTGGGGGGTCTGTTTTGGATAACACAGCTTGGAGTAGTGACACTCTTGAGGTACGTGCTGTGATTGTTGGGGCTGCCCTGTGCAGGATCAGGAGCTGAACTTGGTGATCCTTGTGGGTCCCTTCCAATGCAGGATATTCCATGGCTGTGTGAATGCAGCTTCATCAAGACACCTCACCTAGGTAAGGGCATGAAGAAGCAGCAAATGTGCAAAGTCAAAGGCACAGAACTGAGATTAATCAAAGGCCTGCATGGATGAGCAGTTTGTAGCTGAACTAGACATATAAAGGAAGCAGACAAGAGGTGGAAGCAGAGGCAGATGATCTAGGAGGAGTGCAGAGCTGCTGGCTGATTTTGCAGGGATAAGATGACCTGGAGTTGAATCTGGTGAGGAGTGTGAAGGGTGGCAGAAATGATTCTGCAAGTACCTAAACAGCAAAGGGCAGAGTATGGGCCTGCTGCTGAACAATGCCAGGGAGGTGGCAGCAGATGTGGAAGAGCTCAGGTATTTGGTGCTTTCTTGGCTTTTGTTAAGATCAGACTTCAGCAATCACAAACCCCCCGAGTCCAGGGGAAATGTCTGGAGCAAGGAGGATTAACCCTCAGGCTCAGATCTCTTAGGAAAACTGGTCCTAAGTGTTTAGATTGAAGCACCTCTCTCATGGGCAAAAGCTGAGAAGCTGGGACTGTTCAGCTTGGAGGAGAAAAGGCTCAGGGACACCTTATCCCTGCTATAAATACCTGGTGGGAGGCAAGGAAGAGGAAGGAGTTGGACTCTTCTCAGCAGAGAAGTGATAGGACAGAGGTAATGGGCACACAGGAGGTTCCATCTGAACAGAGTTAAAGCCTTTTCTGTTGTGAGGGTGATCAAACTCTGGCACAGCTTCCCCAGAGAGGATGTGGAGTCTCCATCTGTGGAGTTATTTAAAACCCTTGGGGACTCCTGCCCCTCCTCCCCTGTGTCCATCCTGAGCAAGCTGTGACCCACAATTCCTTCCAGACCCTTCTTTGTCCCTTCTCTGCCCATGGGCATGACTACCCTGACTCTCTCATTTCTTATTTCTTATTTATTTCTTATTTCTTATTTCTTATTTCTTATTTCTTATTTCTTATTTCTTATTTCTTATTTCTTATTTCTTATTTCTTATTTCTTATTATTTCTTATTTCTTTTCCTGACTGCATCTCCCAGGTCCTTGAGATTGGTCTGAATCCAACACCTGTTCTGTGATATTCTGGTAATTTCTTCTGTGCTGGCATCATCTGTGTGGTGAATCAATCTGCCTCCCTGGCTGTTATCTGGCTGTTATCTGGAGAAAGGCTAGTCAGGATTGAGCCAAACTTCATCCTGGGATCTCTCACTTGATTCATCTTCCATCAAGGCATTTCCATCTGCTCTTTGAACGTGTCTTTTCTAAATGTCTTCCCATCATATGGACACTGAAGCTCCCTTAAATACCCTAGGAGACCGTCACCAACTAAATGTCACAAGTCTTACTAACATCAAAAAGTGATAAACATTGTTTTTTCTTCATCTACAAAGTTCTTTTGCCTGGCTATCCGAAGCACTGGATTGTCTGAAGGAGTTGTGTTTGTTCCTGCACCCTTCCTTGCTTGCATCTCATGCTTATGATCATGAAAGCTAATCTAATGGGTGTGTAGAGTCCCAGATTTTATTTTCTTCCATTTTCTTCCTATTTTCCACTTCATTTGCCCTCCCTGTGACCTTCTAAGCCTACTTGGTTTTCTCTGGAGCCCAAACCCCAGAAACCTGCACCAGTGCCTTGAGGTAGGCTTGCCATGCACATCTCATTGGAAACCCTTCCACAGAAGAGCACTCCTTGCTCTGCTCTTGCTGTGTCTGAGGGTTAAATCTCATCTTCTTGTAGACACTAATAAATAACTGTGCTGCACCAGCTGCTGCTGTTGTCTCACAGTGGTCTTTGTGATATTCTTCATGTATCCAAGACAGCTGATCTGAATTTCCAGCTCTGAGAGGTGAACATTCACATCACTCTCTCAACTGATGGACTAGGAACAGTTTTTCATCCTCTCTGTTGCTCCAGAGCTCAGTGTCTTGTCCTTTCAGTTTTGTCCTTTTGTGCTGATGAGATTTCTTTTAGCTCTTGATGGTTCTAATCCAGCCTGGTGTTGATTCCTCCTTCTGTACTCCACAAGGATCTCATGGTTCAGATTATTAGTCCCTTCCTTTTCCTCTTGCCTTGCCCTGGCAGTCAGAGAGCTTCTTCAAGGCCCTGCTCTTCACCAGACTAGCAGATCTGCTGCTCTTTGTTCCTGTAGTTCAGCCTTCCAAGACATTCATAACAAAGCTCAGGCCTTATGGTTATTTGCCTTTCTGAAATCAGAATTTTAACTTTTCTGGTGCCCCTTTGAAGGCTCCCCAGTCCTTTTGGCTCAGTCACCCTCACTCATGCTGCTTTCCATGTTCGTGTTCTCCCCAGTCCTCCACACTGAGTCACTGTTCCTGTCCCAGCAGATCCTCCTCACTGTATTCCAGGTTGTCCTTTTGTCCCCAGAGCTGCCTCTTTGCACTATTGGGGTTTTCTGTAGGTCTGAGTTTTCTGTCCTCCCTGCAGCCCGTGCCTGTGTCCTCACAGCAAACAGCATTCTTTGTTCTTCCAGAGCAGGCTGACACTTCTCTGGGTTCAGTTTGGGTTCTCCCAGACAATCTGGGAAATATAGTAAATCGTAATTCTGATCACTTATAAAGCTCTCCTGTTTATTTTTAGCTGGCATCTCCAGGGCATTTGGCAAAGTGATGCAAGGTTCCTTCTGCTCCTTCTGTGGCATGTGGGACTCCTCCATCAGCCTTTTCCTGTTGTCTGGACCTGTTGTAAGACTGCTGCAGCTATCCTGCAAAATTCCCAGGCTGTTTTTTAGCAAGAAAACTCATTTTTTTTTTTAATCCTACTGTCTTTTGTATGAGGAATACTTGAAAGTTCTCCCCTTCGAGATTTACCCTGTGGGATGTAGTGGCTGCTGCAGAGCTGACACACATCACTCCACCAAACCATGGTCCTCCCCCTGTGCTGACCAGATGACCTGCAGGATTTTTGGGCTCCTTGTATGCATCTTCTCAGTGCTCAAGAGGATGCTGACATCAGGCTTGTGGCACTGAAAACTGCTCAAGGTCCCTCTAAGCCAGCTGGACACTTGACATGAAGATGTCTAGATCATGTGGCACATCCATGGATCCTGGCTGGCATGGGAGGGCTGTGGTGAAACCCTTTATCCAAGAAACCCATACAAAGACAACTGGAGGTTTTTTTTCTTGCATTGGTGCTCCTGTTTTTAGTTCAGTGTAGTGGATATGAGGCTGGAATGAAGGGATGTTCAGCTCTGTGGGATTAGCAAAGACATGAGCTGCTGTGCTGGTGTGGTGGATCAGAAAGGCTGCTCTATTGTATGTGGAGGGAGTAGAGATAATAAAAAATCCTTCTCTTTTTCCTGTCTGTACTTTTTCTTTGAAAACCTGCTGGGCCATGCTGGGATACACTGTGAGAGGATTTCCAGACCAGTATCCTAGAGAGTGGAGATTACAGGACATCTCATAATTTGCATTTTGGATACAGTGGAGACTGGAATATTGGTGGGGACCCTTGTGCTACCAGGATGCTTCTGTGTGCAGTTCTTGTGTGCCAGCAACTGGGTTTAGAAGTCCAGTCTGTGTCTCAGCAGCAAAAGGCTCACAGGAGATGGAGCTGCTTGTCCCAGGGATGCCCATCTTTGTGTCACTGCCTTGCTTTTGCCAGAAGGATTTCCTTCCTTTGCAGTCATTCATCTCTTGAAGCAGAACTTGTCTACTTGCTTTGAGTTTCCTCTTATTTCATGAGCACTTAATACATTCTCCTTCCAGGATGCCAAGCAAATTTAAATTATGCCCATTTGGCTTGCAAGGATGACTCGATCCAATAGATTTTCTCTTATTCCATTAGACCATTTCACCCCCTGCCCTTTTCCTTTTCCTTGACTGAAAGCTTCTGAACCCATCTTGCAGTTTTCAGTCCATCACTTTCTTTGTCTCTGTGTGACATCCTGCTCTCTGTGAAGGTGCTAAGCACTAGGAATGCCATCCCTCAGATCCATACCCTCCAGGCTGGTGAATCTGACCCTGACCTGACTCCACATAAAGAGAATTTCTGCCCTTTTATTGGCTGCTCTCCCTCTAACGGACCCAGTTACTTTCAGCATCACTTTGGCTGCATACATCACGAAGTTCCTGGGTATGAGATCATCTAATGATGACAATAAATGTGTAAAAGAGGACTGCTGTTTTAGTGTAGGTGTAAGTGATGAACTTTTTTTGGCTCTTAAGGTTGTGGTGGAACAAGCCGTGGAAGTCTAGAGAAACCATTGCCCGGGGCCAGGGAGGAGGATGAAGCTGCAGAGGAGATTCTGTGATGAAGAGAGACCACTGGGCTGTAAATCCCAGGCTGGGAGAGTGACAGAACAGGCCCTTCCCAGCATCCCCACAGCTCCTCACTGCACACTGCAGGGCTGATGCTCTTTGCAGTGTGGGCTGGAGGGGTTAACACGATACCCCGAGCTACTCCAAAGCAGTGTGAGTGATAATGCAGTTCTCCTGACATCCTTAACCACATACCTGAGATCAGGGCACCTTCCCTTCAGTCAGACCTAGGGATTGCTGGTACCAGCCACAGGTTATAAACTAATTCTGGCAGTTGGCCATAAAACTGCTCCTTCCCGTGAGACACGGAGGCGTCTGGTGTCAGCCTGACACAAACCATTTGAGCAGGGAAAGGCCCCTCTCCTGGTGGGATTGCAGAACGGCTGATGCTCTTAGTGAAGCCAGAAGTGGAGAGAGAGGGGCTCATAACCCTGCACTAATAAATATTAAATGCCTGTTATCAGGCCTGGCATGTGCTTTGTGGCTCCAGCTTTTTTGCCTGCTTTGGAGGTTATCCACTGAAGGCAACAGGTTTATCAGCAAGTTCAAGCATGTTTGGACTGCAAGGTCTCTCCTGGTGTCTGGCACGTGAAATTATCCTAATCTGCCTTTAATATCCCAGCCTGTACTCTGGGTGCCATGACACACAAACTGTGCCCTGCACCTCTGGTTTGGATTACTGCTGCTCACAAAGGGCTTTAATCCTCTCTCCATCTCTGTAAACACTGCAGTGTGCTCAGTCCCCCCATCAAAGCAGGGTACCCGAGCCTCACATGGCAGCAGAGAGTGAGGGGCTGCCCTGGGGAGCAGTGAGGGCTGTGCTTGCAGGGTGGATGGCAGCCCAGAAATGAACGTGGTGATGTTTCATCCCTGTGCTGGTGGCAGAGACCTGTGGAGATGTGACCTTGCAGCCTGAAGGCTCCTTCCCCAGGAGGGTGGGATGGGGGTCAGCAATAGCCCCAGGGATGTGGGGGATCTCCATCTCTGGGGTGCAGGAGGTGCAACAAGGCTGCTGCAACGTGAGGAATCTGAAATTCAACGAGCAGTTGTTGTAGAATCCTCTCTGGAACGCCTCTCCCGGGCCCTGAATCACCATGTGCTTGTGGATAACAACAGGAGTTTTGTCAGAATAGAAAATGAAGGATCAACCTCCTTCTGACCTCCTGGCTCTGAGATGTTGAGCAGCACCCTGCCCAGGCACTTCATTTACCTGTCTGCTCCCAGGGAATGCAGCTTCACTTCTCATCTCCAAACCAGAGACTGACACCAGGGTGCTGTTGGTCCCCCTCGTTTCAGCAGCTTTAAAGAAGGAAACCAGGTGGGAATATCATATTTTTGCTAAGGTTTTGTTATTTGGGTTTGGGCTTTTTTTTCCCCCCTTGGCTTACTGGCACAAGAAGGCAAAATAAACCATTCAGGAGAGTGGCAAAGTGACTTATGCAAACCCAAACAAAGTCACAAAGCCTCACCAAGGCTAACAGGTCGCTAGTGCAGCTTCCTGTCTGAACGTGACTGTGCTTGTCTGTGGCAGGGCACCTGGAAAGGATTTTCATTGTTTTCCCTTCTATCTGCTGTCAAGGAAGATGGTGTTCTTGTTTCTCTCCATCTCAGGGTGTGAAGCTCTAGGAATGCTTGGGAGAGCTCTCCCCTCACTGCCAAGGCAGCAGTGGTGGTTCCCATCTCACCCAAGGCTGCTGAATGTGCTCTGTTGAGAGGATCAGTGGCTCCTAGGACACCCCACCAGGAGAAAATGCTCCCAAATGGGGCCAGTAGCCCACTGGGAACAGACACAGCCAGTTCAGAAATGACTCTGTCTCTGCCAGAGGAGTTCAGAGGGGATAATTGCACCAGATCGTTAGGGAACAATAGGAGTGGAAAGTACAGATTAAAGCACCACCATTTCTACTGTGTGTGTTATGCAGAGAAGGGGGATAACAGTGTCAGAGGGACTCTGGTAGAAATGCTTTTCAGACTGGCTGTGGGCAGCAGAATATTTGGACAGATCTGCTCAGAGATCCAGACTGGTTTGTGCCCAACAAGGGCCTGTTTGGAGCTGGTGAGGTGAGGAGAGGTTTCCTGCTTTTCTCCCAAGACTGACACTTTACTGTTTATTCCAGGAGGAGAACCACTCAAACTTGAGTTGTTTGAAGCACTCAAGATCTGGTTTCTTGTTTGTTTGCCAGACATCCCCTCCCCACCTGGTAGGGCAGAGTGAGATGTCTCCAGCTGTTTGTCAAGGTGCTCTCAGCATTTGCTTTAGTCCCTTCCCAAGAGCTTCTTCTCCCCAGCATGGTCAGGGACCTACACTGTGGGTGTGTGAGGATGTGAGGAAGGATTTTGGGTCCTGTGTCTCTCATTGTGGAACCTTAACTGTGTGGAACAAAGGAGGATCTGGTTGTCTCAACAGAAAATGGCAGGACCTGCATTAATCACTTTATAGTTCTGCAAGGAAGCCTGGATTTATCTCAAGCTAAAGCACAGCTCAGCCATTACATTACATTACATACCAGAGCCAGAATCAAAGGCCTGAAGAACAAGTTTACATGTGCTTTGGTTGGAGGGACACGACACATAGGGTGACACCTGTGTTTCACCCCTTATTCACATGCACCTGCAACTGTGAAAAACACTTTGATTGTCCTCAGTCCCCATTTCCAGGCCTGTCTTCTGCTCCTGGCTTCTCCCCCTATTCCAGATGCAGCAGCTTAGAGGAGACCACATATCTGCTTGCCTGCTGTGCTGCCTCAAGGAGAGCTCAGGCTCCTGCCTGCTCTTCAGGCCTCCTGCAATATTCCCCTGCCCAGCCACCATCTTCTTGCAATGCTTTTTTAGCCTTGTCTGCTCCCCAAGACTTCCTGAGCCATGGTGGCATCTCCTGGGCCATTGCAGGCAGATCACAGTGTTCAGGTTTCCTCTTCCCATCAGATTTCTGGGCATTCTGCAGACACCTGTGCAGAGGATGGGTCTCAGAGATAAAAAGAAAACCCTGTGCACGTCCTGCCAAGCTGGGAGATGTCTCAGGGCTCTTTCTGCTGCCTCAGATGCTGAGCTGTGTCTGCTCATTGGGTACCACACGAGGTACAGTGCAAGGGAGGCAGTGACAAGTTTTACTGTGGGATGTGTCCCTTCAGGCCATTCCAAAGGGCACAAGGAGTTCCAGAAGCTCCCAGGGCATCACAGTGGGGGGAATCTGTACTCCTGAGGGCTGGGTAAATGATTTCTGCTTTAGCTCAGCTCAGGAGTCTTTTGCTCAGACCAAAAGAAGATTTTTGTGTCCCATACAAACAGGCCTTGACCAATCTCTTATTTCAAGGCAAAGCTGTGAAGAGGGAATATCTGGAATTCAGTATGGCATGGGCCACTGAGGCCTGGCTAGCTAGGAAGAAGCAGCACGAGGAAAACTAGCTCCAGCTTTCCAGGGCCAAATTCAATGGAGTGACACAGTGACAGCAGAGAGGACACAAACTCTTCCCCATTGACTCCATGTGCTCCTGAGATTTTTTTAGCTACATTCAGTTGGCCTATGAGCACAAAAATTATGTCATGGCAAAGGAATTGCCAGACCAGAACTGCCGCCTCATGTGAAGTTATTTAAGCGTATCTTATGATATATTTTTATGTGCTGGTAATTATCATCTATACCCAGATTGCCCTACTTATGCTTTCCTCTTGTGTCCTTACTTGTTCATGCAGGAGTGTTTTCCCTGGGGGATGTCATCAAATACATTATAAAAGTAGAAAACACTGACTTGTGTTATAGAGAACATTTTGCATTTTTTTTTTATAACTCACTTGTATGCAATTAGTGTAAAGTACTTTATAATCAGAGGTTTCCTGGTGGAAGAGATCAAGTGGATTTGAAGAGTGCCACTGTCCCAGGCAGAAGTTCCACCAGGGGAGATCACACCAAACAGCTCCATTCTGCACAAACCTGGCATGATACAGGTGCCAGGCTCTGGAAAGTGCTCCCTGAACTGGGTAGAAGATGCAGAAAGTGTCAGAAGAGATAATCCCAACGAGAATGGAACCAGAAAGGAGCAGGAGACACCACGGGGGAGGAGATGGCCTGCTCTGAGGACTGCAGGTCCCTTAGGATTGAGGAGAGGCTGTTTCCTGTCTGGCAGCCCCACGAAGGCTCTCAGCAGACAGATGTGGTTTGTACAGAGATGCTGTTATTCCGTAGGTGTCAGGATGCAGGTCTGGAAACCCATTCCCCAGGCACCAGCCTGGCTGGAGAGGGTCATGGAGCATGTGGGGACTCTGCAGAGGCCAGTCCTGAGGCAAACAACATAGCTGGGAGCTGTCCAGAGGACTGGCAGAGTGGACAATCTCATTTTGTTGCACTTTGGGCTGACAGGGTTGTCAGCACATTAATATCCCTGTCAGCCAGCTGTGAGTCCAATCCAACATCTCCATGGCATTCTCCCTGTTCCTGGCCTCAGCATCCCCCTCCCCATGTCTGCAGGTCTGTCTCGTGGGAGAGAGACTTGGAGTGACAGCACAAGGGGGAAGGCTTGACAAGGACAGAGGGCTGATTTGGGTTAGAGATTGGGAAGAAATTCTACCCTGTGAGGGTGGGGAGGCCCTGGCACAGGTTGTCCAGAGAAGCTGTGGCTGCTCCATCCCTGGAAGTGTCCAAGACCAGGTTGGAACAACCTGGGATAGTGGAAGGTGTCCCATGGCAGGGGGGTGGGACTCCATGAGTTTCAAGGTCTCTTCCAATCCAAACCATTCTGGGATTCTGTAACCTCCCAGATGGCTGCAATGGGTACACCAGCAGCTGAGAGACTGAGAAATTGTTCTGTAGGGTTGGGCACAAGCCCCTCTTTTCAGTGCCTCTATTGACTTTGGTGTGTTGTGTGGGTGCTGGGTGTGGGAAGAAAGTCACCTAGAAATTTGTCCTAGAAGAAATTGTTAATTTAATTATTAATTCCAGTGGAGCCTGGCTTGCTTCAGGAAGATCTCATCTGGGATGAGCACTGCAATTGGTCCTCAAGGAAGTTTCCCCATTAGGTAAAGAGTTGTCATTGGCCTCACTGCACAGTGGTGTCACAGTGAACCCCTGCAGCACCTTCTGTCTCTCTGCTCTCCCTTGGTCCTCTCCAGAATGCTCTGTAAGCTCCTTTTGCATTAGGGAATTCCATGGACTGGGT